ACAAAATAAAAATAAAACAAGATAAAATAAAATGGGCTGGGAATGTAGGATGTAGCTCAGTAACAGAGCAACTACGTGGCATGCTTGAATCCCTGGGTTCCAGCCCCAGTACTGCCAGACAGACAGACAAACAGACAGGAAAATCAATTCCACACTTAGTCCTTTTCTGTTCCCAACAGCACTGAATAGACGCATCTAACGACTCCTTTATCTTGCTCCTACTTGACATGTTAGTATCTTCCTAACAAAAGGACCTACCACAGTTACTTGAACTACATTTAAAAGTATTCCTTGCAAGAGTAGCACTTTTTTCCTATGGCATTCTAAACTCAAGGAGAGCGAAGCATAAATCTAGGAAATGTTTAGTGAAAAACAAACAAACAAAAAAATACACTTCATGCTAATTCTAAAATCAAAGCCAGATCCATCCCACACATGTGTATATACATTTAAAAGCGACTTGGTTTTGGTGGATTCCGTTTTAGGTCCACCCTGCACGGCAAGGATGTCCATGACCCAGCACTTAATCTGATTTTTGGCATCCACCAGATATTCAGCAAACACTGGCTGTATGAGGAAGAAAGTATCTGATGTGATCGTGCCACCTTCACGACATAGTAAGACTCATATCTACTGGTCACTTCTCTGTGAAAATGGTCATCCTCGGTTCAGTGGTCTCATGAACAGACACAGAACTGCTTCCAAAGTTTATGAGAGATCAGAACCACACCAGAATGCCAGACAGCCAACTACAGTAATGAGAATGTACTTCATATTACCCCTAAATTTAGTTATTCCTAAAATTAATTTTAACTCACTTGAACCCAAGCTGCTAAGTTCTTCCTGGAGTTCAAACCTATCATTAAACTGAGGAAGAATAAAGGATGTACAGTTGAAGGAGGAATGCATTTATCAGTCCAAATAATAGAGGCTATTGATTCCTTTGCTTTTATGGACTTTTAAAAATAATTTCTGATTATACTGTATACAATGAGACTTTTTATTGGTTAACAATGAGGTCCATTTTTAAAAAAATTTTTAATCAAAGATGTCATGTTTCCTTTAACTGCTGCTGGAATTATCAGCAAGGTGTTCTCCAAATCACTATGCCAGGGAACTGCAACTGAGGCTTGACATTGTCAAAGAAAACTCTACAGCCACCAATTATTAGAACAGCTGACGCAAAATCAGTAGGCAAATACATAAAATTAGATATAAGGAAATGATGTCAAGAAATAGAAAATAAGGGAAAAAAGTTTTTAGGAAGAAAATGATGAAAACATATCACAACATCAGCATAACTGATCCTTCTGATTTATCCCAGAAATCATCTCGCTCCAGGCACACTATTTGCTGTTCAAGTTGAAACATCTCTTTGCTCTAACCAAGATAACATCTACATCAGTAAATAGTAAGTTTTATGAACTCTTCCCTCTCCGAAGCCTTTCATAATTCTTCCGATACATCATTAGAGGTCATCTTCATCAATGTGAGGATCCCAACCACTCACCAGAGTGCCCAGCCCCTGTGCTCCAACATGCATTTGGGTGTCTATCAAACCCACACTTGACACTCCTGAATTACACCAAAAGCTCCGGCTACAGCTTCCCTATTTCTTTCAATTACAATCAAAGGTCTTTGACCCTTTCTTCTTATTCTTATCTAGAATTCCACGGCTTGAGTTTCTCTCCTGGTGTTTTTAAATACAGTACATTCTCTCGTTCATCTTCTCCACACTTGAGTGACCTCCATCAGTAGCCTCCTCACGAGGGGCCCTACCTCTCATCTCTCTCTTTCCCTTCAATCTGTCACTCCCGGACCACTTGGAGTGGCTCACGTGCAGTTTCCCACGGCTGCCTCCACCACTTTCATATCATTTCCTCAGTCCGGGATAGCCTTCCTCTCTGTGTGGTCACTTCCCGTTCACCCAGCCTGCAAATCTCCATCATCTCGGTCCCGTGCTCATGTACACAGGGCCTGCGTCCTCACCCTTCAACTGACCTCTGGTGGGTCTTCTGCAGCAGAAGCATGTTGTCTTATGACAACTCCACCATCCTCATTTTCTTTTTCATTTTAACTTTAAAATGACCATTACAGATTCATGCATGAGTTTATTTTCAAGCAGTATAATGATCACAAATGAACTCATCACTAATTTTAGATAGTTGATCGTTATCAAAATTAACACCTACCTATCTGTGCTTCCTAAAGCTACTCATTTGGGCTTCCAAAAACACAACTGCCATTTAAAGCTTTATAGTCATCATTCTCTTAAAAAAAACTGCATAGTGGCACAATCCTCTAATCCTGGCACTCTGAGAGGTTAGAGCAAGAGGATCACAAATTTGAGCCCAGCCCAGGCAGTTTAGCAATTTGCTGAGATCTTGTCTTTTACGATCGGAAGATGTAGTTAAATGCCCAGGCTATGAGTTCAGCCCCTGGTACAAAAAAACCACCCCTGCAGAAAAGTATTTCATGTATCTGAAAAAAACACACTTGTTTGTATTTGATTGTGTTTGCTTATTTCTCTGGCATTATAAATTAATGCAACCATTCTGGACTACAATTTGACAATATCTACTAAGCTGAATAGTCACACAATTTTACAAAGCAGCAATTCCATTTCTTGCTATTTACCAAAACAGTGTTTGTATGTGTGTCGCAGGAACTGCAAATGACCACAGCAACACTGTTTGTGATCATTTTAAATGCAAAACAAATAAATGGTCACTGCCAGAAGACTACAGAAACAATTTGAAATAATTTTTATGGCACACAGAATGGGAATACTGTACAGCAGAGAAAGCCAGTGAACTACCATTAACCACACACAAATGAATCTTTAAGATGTAATGAGAAAAAAGCTTAGAAGTCCCAGAAGTGAATGTATAGTTTACTTTTAACCAAGATCAAAAATTATCATGACTATTCCTTAATCTTTGCAGGAAAAAAAAGTCCCTTTTTTATCTTTTCAAAACACATTACTAACCCTTGAGGGCAGGGCCATCCTTTTACTTATGTATCTCCCAGTGGTTAGATCAGTGCCTTAAAAAGAGTGGGTGTCGGAAAGTAATAATCAATTGAACGATCGCTGAATGCGAATCAAAGAATTCAATAAAATTCAAATTTCCCCCTGTCCAACACTTTCCTAAATCAAGTCACACGAAACACTTATCTACTTTGAATTTTACCTGATTCTGTATCTACAGGTAGTACTATAGACTTCCAACCAGACACATTTCATCTTCGAAGAACTTTATCTTTCTTGTTGGAGTAAAACATAAGGTTAAATCAACCTAGACAGAAGGAAACCTATACCATGCAATCCGACAAAAGTCCAACCTATATCTCACTAAACCAAAGAGATCCTTGACAAACCATCGTAATCTGAAACAGGTATCTCCAAAGGCAATCCATCCACTCACTGTATAATTGAGGAATCAACATTACAATACAAAATAGAAACAAAACCAGGATTTCTAGGCTTCCAGAAAGGAAAGGTTTTATTTTTTTAAATTATTTTTTGTAAGAGAAAATATATTAAGCCTGGCTGCAAAAGAATAGAACACAGTTCCACCAGTCAGTGGCTTCCTTATGACCCTCGGAGGGCTGTGCATATTCTCTGTAGGTGATTTTAGCTGAGTTACGCCGCAGCCTCCCTGCGACCTTGGGAACCCTGCTCACTCGCAGTTACATGAGATCTTCTGTTTCATTTATTATTAGTCTTTGTATCTGCAATGCTGCAACATCCGATAGGAATATCAACTTTGTGAGCTTGCAGTTCCCCAAAACTGTAAAAATACTTCCAAGAATGAAAAGGGGTTGGGGGGGGGGTGTATGGTCTAAACAAGAGGAAAAGAAAGTTCAATTGTATCAAGATGTTAAATTTGTTAATATTATCGTTGACGATCACCTCTACGATGTATAACAATCTACTAACATGCAAATTTTTTAAATTTAAAAGATGTTCAAGAAAAATTATTTTGTTATTCGGGGTCGGGGACCACAGTTGAAGGTAATATATAATTTTCCAATTGTAACCCAGGAAATTAAAAATGTTAATTTTTATAGACAAATTCTCACAGGGCTGTTTTTGGTCGGGGAGAGAAAATGAATCCGATAACCCGAAGGGGTCACTTAGTTTCCTGTCATTTGCTTCAGGTCCATTATGTAATGCTTTCCTCAGCTTTAGGTCTCTGGTTTTAAGTCACCGTTCATATTTACATAGAATTGCCACGCAATCGGTATCTGGGCATAACTTTCAAAAACAGTTTACCATGTGGCTAGCGGGTGTCTACGTACAGCACAGGTTTTTAAAAATCTGCTGGTGTCATGAGTTCTTCCCGGCGTCCTCGCAGGCTTCCCAGCGCCTCCTCCCCCAGCATCCCCGGCGACGCGATCGGCGGGCAGCAGCCGGCTGGCTGCAGGGGAAGCACGTCTCCACTGCAATGCAAAGCCGGCCGGATCGCGGCGTGGAGTCAGCCCGGCCCGGCCCGGCCCGGCCCGGCCCGGCCAGCAGCGTGGACGAGGCTGCAAGCCGCGCCGCAGGGCGCCCGCCAGGGCCGCCGCAGTGCACGCGCGCCGCCGAGCAATGCACAACTTCCCGGCCGCTGTCGGCTCCCCGCGGCCCGAAAGGTGCGGCGTAGGCGTCAGCTCGCGCGGGCGCCGGGTCCCCCGCTCGCGATGACATCAGTGGGTCCGGGCCGCTCCGCTCGCGGCCAGCCCGGGTGGGGGCGCGGGCGGCGGGCGGTGGGGAGCTGCAGGCGCCGGAGCCCGCGGCAGGGATCCCCACGGCCAGGAGGGCGCCCGCGGCACACACGCCGCTCCCGCCCGGTGACACGGCCGCCCGTCCCCGCCGCCGCGGAGGCGATGCCCAGGCCCGCCGCTGCGGCCGCCCACCCCGCCGCGCGTCTGCGGGGTCCCCGGCGCGCACAATGCCCCGGGCCGCGGCGCCGGCTGCGCGGGTCCGCCCAGGCACCCCGAGCGCCCGGTGCGCCTACCTGAGGGCGGCGGCGGGTCCTGCGGCAGCGGGCGGGAGGCGGCGGGCGGCCCCGGCCGGCGGAGGAGCGAGCCCGGCGCAGCCTGCGCGCCCAGCCGCGGTGCCCGGCTCCGACCGCGGCGGCGCCCCCTGTGTCCGCGGCGCCGCAGCCCCTCCTCCCGCGGGCGGGGCGCGCTAGGGGGCGGCGCTCCCGGCTCCCGGCTCCCGCCCCCGGCTCCCCGAGTGGGTCGGGCTGGAGCGGAGCCCGCATCGGCAGCGCAGGGGAGTCCCTGCGGCTAGGATCGCCCGCGCGGAGACCCGCGCCGCGCCTCGGAAGCCCGGCGCCCCGGGCTCGGTGGAGCCGCCCCGGTGACTCTGCCGCTGGGCGCTCCGGTGACAGCCGAGTCCTAAGGGAATGGGTCCCCGGCCGCCTCGATGCCCTGTCCCCGGGCGCCCTTCCCAGGCCCTCATTCAGTGAACGCACCCCCATTGCCTCCTCCCGGTCGCTGTCGCTCAGAGCCAGAACTTCCCAGGCCCAGAGAAACACTTGGGTTCTGTGCAGCAAGGGCCCGGGCTGCAAGTTCCCGGCAGCCCAGCAGCCTCGGTGCCACCTCTCTGCACCCTTCCCGGGCCCTGAAGCCCATCCCCGCCTGTGACCAAGAGCAGATTGATCTAAAGAGGAATCTGCTGGGAGGGACAGGGTAATTTAAATATCTGCACAGACGTTTCTTTTGTGAAGGGGCGACAGGAAATTCAGCGTGTCAAGGAATTTGTGCCATGGCCATCTTCGGAGGGCAACATTCCAGAGAATGTTGGGTGCCTTGTGGGCTGTCTAGGAGGTCTGCAGCGGACCAGTGTGAGGGGAGCCTTTAAAGTTGAAGATCTTGCTCCCACTGAGGTGACTGCCATGCCGCTTGACTGTTCTCTGTGCTGATAAAAGCCTGATTTGTCATCCATGTATCGTAGTTTGCCGTTTGCACTCTTCCCTACCTGCACTTTCGCCTGAATCTCCTTTCCATTCATTCCGTTCATTCGGGTTAACTTCTTCCACCTCATCTAGCATCCTTTCTCATAGCCTCCAGTGACAGAACCACAGAGGCAGGCCCTGAGACACAGGGCCGCTCATCTTCATCCTGCCCTGTGACCACGGTGCCCTCGACGGAGCCATCAGTCTGCTGGTCCTCACTTGGTCACAGCCGCCTTTTTACTCCTTTTTTATCTGGACTCCACGGACAGAAAGTCTACTGAAACAAATTTCCCACCCAAGCACAAACCAGGAAAAGTGACAGAAGGGTTCTAAGAGATGAGAAAATACAGTCTCTCACGGGGAGGAACGGTTCTCTGATCCTCTCTCTGCAGCCTATTATAGAATCACAACCTCTGAGGGAGAAAAGATTAAGAACACCTGTTCACTCTTCACTCTGTGCCATAGCATCTGTGTGCGTTTTATGGGTTTTTTAAAGGCAGGTCTTAAATGTCAGGGGTGAAGTCGCCCGTCTCACTGACTAATGGTCAGAAAAGATGGAATGAGGTGCTGCACCTATCTCTCTGGGGAGCTGGGTGTACAAAGTCCATCCCTGGTGACCCGCTACACTATGTTTGTGGGTCACAAAATTTTAAAAACACAGGCTGGAATGAATATGTAAATATAAGTAGAAGGTTTTTCACTGCGTCTTGAGCTACTGCAGGGTTTTTGCTCAGAAAAGTGTCAGAGATCAATGCTTTAAGTGTATCTTTCTTGCTGAGTTTAAACCACAAGTCGTACATTGCCTGAAAGGATGGATGTCTGCTCCACAATCCATTTGAAGAAAGATACTGTTTTTAAATACCTGGTGCTACCACTGCTGCAGTTCCATTCCATCACCCAGGCTGACCTCTCCTAAATCACAGTACCCACCATCAATACATCCAATACATAGTTTATATTCATTGCTGGTTATGGGCACTGTCTAAGCTGGGTGTATTAGGAAAGCTGAAGTGTAAATATTTCACTGAAAGACCCAGTTCCAGCGCATAAGGAGTGAGGAAAATGGGAAATGAGACAGGAAAAATGAGGAGCAAACACATGGTGACACATTCCCAACCTATCCTATGCTTCACGAGCCTGAGAAGACACAGCCAGTTCCTTGGCCATGTGATGCATCTGTGGACAGACGCTCCAGAAAAATGTGCCCAGAAACAGTCCATCAAGACAGGGCTGAAAAGAAATTTATCAGGAAGCTACCTCCAATCTCCTATCTCCCCCTTGTCAAGATTTACTCCACCCATTCTAGTTTGCTTCTAGGTTGAGTCATCTGACTTTACGGAGGTACCAGCAAAATAAATCCCATCCACGATAATTGTATGGTTTTTATGCTGGGCTGTTCTTTAGGCAATTGCTTATGCTGGGAACTGTGATAGTCTGTATTCTTACTGGTCTATGTTGTCCCAAATGGAAGTTGTCAGATATTTTGGAGGCAAGAATGATGCAGTAGCCATTACATTCTGAAAGTTATCATTGGTTCCAAGTATCAAAAGACAAATACTTCTGTGGGTATGTGTGTGTGTGGGTGTGTGTGTGGGGGGGGGGGGTTTGAACCACCCAATGGGAACCGAATCCAAGACCTTTAAACTGAGATAAATTCACAACTCCCACCTCAATATTGTGTTTTTGAGATAGGGACTCCCTAAATCACTAAGTTGGAAGGGCTGGGCTGGAACTCTCTTGTTTCAGCCTCCCAGAGTCCTGGAATTATAGACATCACCAACATACCTAAATTTTGTTGCAAATTTAAACATAAAGATGAGCATTCTCTTTGTAATTTACTTTTTATAAAACACATTATTACTTACCTGTTTTTCTATTTTGCAGTACTAGAGATGGGCCCCAGGAGTGGTCTACCACTGAGCTACATCCCCAGCCCTTTCTAGTTTTTAAAGCAGGATCTAACTAAATTACCTAAAACTTTTGCTCCTCCAGCCACAGCTTCCCTAAAGCTTCAGTTATAGACATGTGCCATTGTACCCAGAAAGCATAAAATACATGTTTAAGCAAATCTATTACCATTTCACAATATCAAAGGAGCACCGTCAGAAAGTCAAACAGCACATTTTATGAGACAGTGAGTTCTTGCAGGAAAGTTGCAATGTCCCCTAGTGCTTATAGGTGTGAGGGTCTTGATCCAGCCTCCGTCTCAGGTTGTTTATCAGACATGATTCTATCTTTGCATATGTGCACACCCCACCCCAGCTGAAGTAATACTTCCAAAACATCACATATATTTTTGAAACTTTTCTTTCCAGGGAAATTTGGCTCAAGAACTTCTAGGTAAGCACATGACAAGCTCAGTCCTAACCTCCAGGTCTAAACTTTAGTGTGGAGACTTCATTCTCACAAACTCATGATCTGCTCAGACAACTTGATGGTCTAGTCCAGACAGTACTACTGTGCACACTGCAGAGTGAAACTTTCATTCAGGATGCTTTATCAGAGTGCCTAAAAAGACAGCAAATTGGGCTTTTAGTATGCTTATAGGAACAGGTTAACCTTTTGGAGTGTAAGGGTGGGGGTCCCACTTCATTTAATTTAATAAACACTTCAAGTGCCTGCTCTGAATTCGGTGTTACTACAGGTACTTGAGTTATGAGTCAGCAAAACAAAGACCCTGCCCTCATGGAGCTTACAGTCTAGCAAAGGGAAACAGATAATGAATGCATCTAATAGATGAGTAACTCATACAGTATGTCAGAAAATCATGAGTGATAGGGGAAGAGTAACGGGAGAAGAGGGATAAAACAGTTTACCAAGTTGCGCTCTCCAGCTCATTAATCTGGGCTTCAATGAGAAGATGACACTTGAACAAAGACTGGCAGAGATGAGAGAGTTAGTCAAGCAGACAGACAAAGAAGAGGTTCCCACCACAGTCGGTGAGACCAACCGCTGCAAAGCCCCTGCAGTGAGCAGGACCCAAGTCCTGGAACATAGGAAAGGAGGGAGGGGCAGGGGACCACATTGTGTGGGGCCCACAGGCCACTGTGAGCACTGAATTTCAGTAGGAGATGGGGCTGGAATACCGAAGAGTGGAACGATTTGACTCACGGGAGAGAAGAGCTGCTCTGGTTACTGTGTTGAAAACAGACTCTGGGGGAGCAATCCTGGGGTCTGCGAAGGGGCTGTCCCCTACTGCCTGGTAGTGATGCAGGAGGCTCAGGGCCAGGTGGCAGCAGCTGAGGTGGGCAAATTCAGCCTCCATTTTCAAGTAGCACAAGGGAATTTTCCTATGGATTAGTTCTGGTGGATTGGATGATGCTGATAAGTTTTTGCATGAGGTATGAGCGATAATTATGTTAATAGCACTGTTTACTAGGTGAAACTGAGAAGAGGAAATAAAGGGCCATCCCACCCTATATCAGGAAATAGCAAAGATCCTAGTGTCTGAGAGTATTCTTAGTTTTAATTTTCTAGGCATATAACACAGACACACACACTCACACACACACACACACACACAATTTGGGTGGAAAATGGAATGTTTGAACATGTACGTGCCAAAAACTTTTAAAATAAGAAGTTTGAATTGAGTGCCCTCTCTGAGATTTTGTTAAGTAAAAAGTAGCAAAGCAGAAACTACTACTTTCTTTCCCAGGAACTAATTTGAAAAACAAGTTTCATGTTAACAATTTTGATCCAAAATACACCTTTTAGGGCACCAGGTCCTTAGTTTCCTTGTTCCTACACCAGTCCTCCTTGGATGCCTCCTTTTCTCCAGAGGAGCTAAGAGAGCAAGAACCCAAATATCTTTCTCACCCCTTCCCTCCCCTTCCCTTCCCTTTCTCCCTCTGCCTCTTTCTATATATCTCTCTTTTTCTTTGTTGCTTCCTTCCTTCCTTTCTGGGGGTTGAATCTAGAATCCAGGACCTCACACATGTGTGTATTTATCAGTGAGCTACATCCCCAGACTTTTTCTTCCTTTTCTGTTTTGAAACAAGATCTTCCTAAATTGTGAAATTGTCCACACTGGCCTCAAATTTTTACTCTTACTGTATGAGTCTTCCAAAGTGCTGGGATTGTTGACATGCATTGCCACACCTGGGTTTTCTTCTTTTTTTCTCTATCCGGAAATTGAACTCA